CTGTTGAACTCAGAGTCATGAAGTAAAGTGGAGTCCTATAGTCATGAAAGCTTTTTGTCTAGTGAAGTCAAAGTTTTTAAGGCAGTCTGATGTCTAGTGTCCGTATTGCTATCGAAAGCTGAATGTTGATGTCGTTTGGAGTCTTGGGGTCTGTAGTTTCGTTATCGTTGAAGTGTAGTTTTCATGTTCTCGTTTGTTGCGGACCTTTTAGCGGATCAGTCGTGGAAACTATATCCTGCAGTGTGAAGAAATAAATATTTACCGTTTTTTTGAGAATGCTTCCAAGATATTTTACTTTGTTTATGTGTTCAAATAGATGATTCAGAAACACGTCAACTTATTTTTGAAACGATACGCCATGGCATTCTCTGCAATAGGTGAACACCAAAATTCTTGCGATTTGTGCTAATAGATTTGGAGAGAGCTAAAAGGAAAGGTATGAGAGTCTATAGTGTCTCATTGTCCAGAATTTGTTTTTTTCTTCAGCTAAACAACAATCACATTTCGCAGAAGTTTCATTCTTTCCGATTATTTTTGAACATCCAGATGCTCACTTTATCGAGATGATGGTATTCAGAAATGAGTTCTTTTACATTTGATTTGATTTATATAGTAAATGTGTATTTTTAAAGCGTTTACATTGATATCAAAGTGGGAAACTACTTAGCGTATACCAAAAGTAGTGACGCCAATATCTCAATTTCTTATAGACCGCATGAAAAAATTTTCTTTTTTTATGAACAGATAGAGCGTCTTTCGCTCTATTTTTCTATGCTATTTGATCACTATTCAATTGGTATCATAATAATAAAATTTCGATAACTATTTTTGTGTACAACTTAATAATATTTTGAGGCCCACTAAATGGCTACAGGTTGTATCAGAAAAATAAAATATACCACTAGATGCAGCGTGAAAAGCTCTACAATTTACATAAGATCGCCTATTTTAAAGTTCACTATAAAGTAGGCGATCTTATGTAAATTGTAGAGCTTTACACACTGCATCTAGTGGTATATTTTATTTTTCTGATACAACCTGTAGCCATTTAGTGGGCCTCAAAATATTATTAAGTTGTACACAAAAATAGTTATCGAAATTTTATTATTATGATACCAATTGAATAGTGATCAAATAGCATAGAAAAATAGAGCGAAAGACGCTCTATCTGTTCATAGAAAAAAGAAAATTTTTTCATGCGGTCTATAAGAAATTGAGATATTGGCGTCACTACTTTTGGTATACCCTAAGTACAACATCTGATACATCTTTTCTTTTAGCTCTCTCCAAATCTGTTAACACAAGCCAAGAGAATCTTTTTTTTGACTATTGTACAGAATATCAGGGCGCATGTTTTAAAAAGAATTTAGATTTTATCGTTTACGTTTGTGGAGATATGTGGGGAATAGATGATGTTGCAAGCATTCCGAGACACTCGGTATTTGTTTTACATTCTCTCGCAAATGAAGATTTGTTCATGTTTACTATCGTTGCTCTTCTATCACTCTTCTGTATAAATCGGTTGAAAGCATCCTCAAACGGCCGAAACTTCCACTATATTCGTTACAATCTGTTGACAAAGATGATAATGCTGGTACTTGGATGAAACATAAGTGATTGAAGAAGGAGAAAGACGACATTCTTTGAATGACCTGACGATTTTGCGCAGCTCTTCGATCCTCCCACCAAAATTTGTCATAATCCATTCAAGTTTTTAGGTACTGAAAGATGTAAAAACGAGTCGAGATTTCCTTGGAAACAAAGTATTTTTTTGAATTCTCAGAGTTGTAATGGTTTTACACAACAATTCCATATAAATAGAATAAAGTTTATATCATGCATGTCGAGCAATTCCTAAACCTCTACAATAACGATGGAAACATGAAAATCAAAAAGAAGATATCCGAATGCTATTTTGATAGTTCAGAGTACTGGATAGGTTTCCGAAATTTTTTCTCAGAAACGCAAGAACTGTCCGAAGACTCGGAAGCCCTTCAGGATTTTCGAGACATGTTCTGAAACCATGCTTGATTTCTCGGAAACGCTTCCACCGTTTCCGGTGCCCGGAAACCCAAAAAGGTTTTCAATCAAAAAATATCGAAAACGCAAAGGTTTTCGAGAAGGTTTTTAAATCAAAAGCGGTTTTCAAAAATAGCACCAGGGTTTCTGAGAATATGGTTAAGGGTTTCCGGACCTATCTTTCGAAAACCCATAGGTTTCCGGATGCTCGGAAACCCAGAAGGTATTTTCAAAAACTTAACATGAGTCCGGAAACCTTTTCGGATACGTTTATGGGTTTTCGAAAGGGTTTCTGAAGGGGTTTCGGTTTCTGAGAAAACGTTTTTTTTTAGAGTGTAAGACGTACATACCCAGACAAAAATCTTTCCTCTCTCTGTATTTTTATGCTGGCAAACTTTGTATTACATTTATTACTGAGTAAAGATATGATATGAAAGTTTTATTACATTCTGGTGTATAAATCAGACTATAATGAAACTCTCATGTCATATCTTTATTACTTAGTAATAAATTTGATGCAAAGTATAACCACATACAAATACAAAAGAGAAAAATATTTTTGTCCAAGGAGTGTATAAAATGGTTTCTTTCATATTTTTATAATTTTCGCGTTTGTAAAAATACGCTGAGTTGCAAGATCTTTCTAAGTTTTCTTCGAGACAAATAATTTCTGAAAATCGCGAAATACTTTAAACTTATAAGAAGCATTTCTGTCGTTTCGCTTTTTTCGTGAGAAACTTCACAGCACCCGTGAGTTCATTTACATGTCACAATCAGACTTCCATCAAACCTGAAGGGTGGGTATGGGTGTCGACGCAGGTATTCTATTCATCCACGTCCTCGAGCAAAGCTAGTATTTGGCTGTTGTATTCAACTAACAAATGTACTTAAAATGTACCTACAGTACTGGTACTTGAGCACATTATACTTAAGTATTGGGACTTAAGTACAGCCTGCAAGTACAAGTAAATGTACTTGTGCTGCAAAAATGTGCTTTGTATTTAAGATTTTCAAGTAAAAAAAGTACAAAAGTATTAAGTATTGTAGTCAGTATTCAGCCTCTTTAAAATACGGAAAAATGAGTGGGTGTAAGTTCAGAATGACAACGCTTAGTAAACATTAAAGAGCAAAATAAAAAAATCGATCTCTGTTAAAAGTTGTAGAGCTGCCTTTTTCCTACATTTGGTTCCAAGCACAACTGCCTAGCATTTAAAATAGAGGAGAAATATGGGACGCACAAAAAAGAAAACCTATTTTGAGAAAAATGTAAAATAAATTCTCGAATTATAATTGAAGCTGTTCAGCATCAAACGATGTGAAAATCTGTTGAAGTAGCTCATAATAGAATATCAATCATGATGTATTGCATAGAAAGACATATGAAAGACGGTTTGCTCAATAGAATATCGACAACAACCCCCAGTGGAAGAAAAACCTAGAAAAAGTGGATAAAAATCAAAAACAATATTTTTCAGAAAAAATCTTATTTTTTTTTTTGAGCATGACGATCTAGAAAAACTTATACAATATCCTTTTAACTAGTCATGGAATCAGCTAAGTTGGTGCATTTGAAAGTAGACATTTTGCTCTATTTACCGACATATAAATCAAAAATATCGACCAACTTGACTTTTTTGAAAGGGAGGATCCGTTTAATTTAATTTTTTGTTTAGTAAATTATAAAGGGCAAATAAGTTAAATATATTTTAAATTTATTTTAAATTAATAGGAAGATTACTTCCCTACCGAAAGCGCTCATGCACACGCTCACGCTCATAGTGAACACGAGAGACTACCGCTCACGCTCATATGGCCGCTCATGAGCATAAGCTGTACACCCCTACTTAAATGAGCCTATTGTAGTACTTATTGTCAAACAATCAATTAACAAATACTTGGATACGTCGATTGATTATATTAGATAAGAAACTGTATGAGATACCATAACGTATTTTTATATGAATACAGACTAACGTGAATTCGCCATTACTGATTCCTTGCATATCCGAGTCAAAGAAGAAACGCTCACGCTCATGAGCGCTCATATGAGCGTGAGCGGTAGTCTCTCGCGTTCACCATGAGCGTGAGCGTGAGCGAAAAGCGCTCGCTCACGCTCACATGAGCGCTCATGAGCGTGAGCTGTACACCCTAGTGGTATATCCATGAGGGTACAGGTATAGTTGTGTACTCCTGAAGACACAGGATGACGACCTTTTTCAGTAGATTCCTCAAGTAAGCTCGAACGTCCTTGGAAGTAAGAGAAAAGAAGAATAGTGAAATGTTAGCGAGAAGGTCCAAACGGGTCGCTATTACTGATTAGGAAAACTCGCGATTTGTTGCAAAAATCGAAAAAAAAATCGGTAAAAGTCGTCAAATTGGTCGATTTTGTCGCGATAGATCGCACGATTAATCGACCTGGTAAATCGCGATAAAATCATCGATTTTTCCGCGATTTTCATCACACGGGTTGTTTTCACCAAAGAAAAAATCCGAAATGGAAGGCACCACTATGCTGTGAAACTGTGTCAACAAAAGCGCAAACATAATAATCATCATTGCATGTATTTTTATATGCACGTTTTTCACTAAGCATGTCACAGACAATGTATAAATATGAGTATATCAATGAAGATACAATCAATGCCGAACTCAAATGCGTTATTTGCCTACAACCTTTTCAAATACCAGTCACCATTAACTGCAAACATACGTTTTGTGTTTCGTGCATCGATACATGGATTAAACGGGAAAGGTCATGTCCACTATGCTACCATCAATTCGGAACTGGATATGTGTTGACCAAGACGGCATCTGACACCTTATGGAATCAGCTAGATTGTCTTCTCGTTCGATGTCTCAGATGCAATGAAACTGATATTAAACGAGCTGATTTTGGGGCACACTTTGAACGATGCTCGAAAAAGAGAATAACGAAAACATCGGATGCACTTCGTAAACCTTGGCATTTCATGAAAACGATGATGCGAACAAAACATCATCATCAGGCAACAGTTACCACTGCTGAAAATATTGTTGATACCCATCATCAACAAAGAAATATTCTCTGTCGTGAATCACCAGGTGTACAATATGGAAGATACCAACAACGAGAACAACAACAACGGTCTTCAAAGTTGTATGAGATAGCTCCACGAGCATCTACAGTTGTAAAAGGAGCTGCGACTGGATTGGCCGAGCAACTCATACCTCCATTACTTGCCATGTTCATAGGATGCATGAAAATAGCAACTGGTTTATTTTTTATTATTGCTCTTGCTGTTATTTCTGTGCTTCTGTATTTCGGAATTTTTTGGAAGGTATTGTTTGTCATTTTGGTAATTTGGTTTGGCCTCAACCTGTGCAGAACAACTTAATATAAATTTTATTCAGTCATTTTATATGCGTACTGTGTTTGATTTTCTTTCTTTTTGTTTTCATAGAAAATTTCTATAACAATGTTGTTTTCATTAGACAGCGAATAAAGAGAAGGCGTGTGTGTGTGTGGTGGGAGGGTGTGGGTGTGGGTGGGGTGTG